TTGGCCAAATAGCACCCTTTGTACGGACACGAGGATCTGGCCATTCTGCCAGGCACATCCGGGCAAAAAAAAACACTGCCACCACTCCAGTGTAGAACCACATTGAACCTCTGGAAAAACATTGGAGATAGTAAGACTTTTTAGGACTAGGGAGCATCATCGTGATCGAAGGCGCAAAAAAAGCATTCTTGCAATTTCTGGGATTTCATAAAGTGGTTTTATCCAAATAAGGCGTAATTTAAAGCATAGGGATATGCTTTTACTGATTCTCCGAAAATGGAAAAAACTTCACATGCAAAATGCGAAACTTTTTTTACCTTTTTCCAAACTATTCTAAATTTAATATGACTGTAAAAACTCTTCCTAACTTCTTCCCTTTCATTCCTTCTCTTTTTTCATCTCTGAACACTACGACCGTCATACTGATGAGGTCCAATCGCTGCGTTGAGCTAAGACTTAATGGCTTAATGGACCAGAACGTCTTAACTCATTCATACTTAGTTCTTTCACACTAACTCTATTTCCACATCCAGCCATATTTAATTCGCTCCATGCCTACCCTTCCTAGGCTCCTAACATCTAACTGCATGCTACAATCAGCTTAGCCAACTTTTTAACAACCATTTCTCCACTTCCTTGATTTCTCAAGGAAAAAAGAACTCGCTGTGAGAAAAAAGGTCCCATATTTTGCTCGTAACTAACGACAGCTCCGTAAGCAGCAGATGATAGATGCCGTTGAAAGATCGAGAAAGCCCTTAGCAATACGAAAATTCACACTCCGACGACTGCTTTGATGAATTATTGGTGAAAGGAGGAAACAAAGCAAAAAATGTGAAGGATGCCGACAGAGCACAAGAGAACAGCCTGACGTGTGATTATTAGCACCCAAAGCTTCAGTCTTATCAAACTAGCAATTTTACAGGTTGCTCACGCCAGATTTACCAAAGTATACAGATTCTGAGCTCGATAACACAAACTTTAACAATGAACAACTTGACGTCGGCAGCCGAAGTGGGACGTAAAAACATTAAAGCCTGCAATCCAGTACAAAGAGACGAATCGAGAAATTATAGCTAGTACCATGCTACACATACAGGATAAATTATAGCTAGGACTATGGTACCCATATGCTCCAGTAACTGTGTGGAGCAGAAAGGCTGATAGCACCATAGCACTTCGCGTCCGGATGTGAAGACAAATGGTTCGATTCCTTTCCATTTTATAGCTATTCGCAAAAAGATGCGTTCGTAATAGGCGAAGAGAGAGAAAGCGAGGTCGATGGAGCAACTTTAAGCCGTATGGCTTCCGTTCTGAAAAACTGCGGAACAGAAGTCGTCCGCCTGGAGAAAAATGCAAAAAGTGAAACATGAACTGAAAGACATAACCGGACTGAAGCAAAATTTAAAGTGTTAAATGTGCTGAAACTGGTTCCAAAATGAGTCAAAAACACGCACACTGGTTCAGAATCTTGACTCTCCACTGTCAAAAACGGCAAATAAAGCACTTAGAATTTGGAGCATTTTAAGTAATTAGAAAGGTAATGGGCTTATTAACAAATGCAGTAAAAATTAGCTTATAACTTTAATGAAAAGGAATGCTAACAAAAAGGAAAGGGAGAAAAACCAAATTAAAAGATAAAAAATTTTTTTATGGAAACGAAAGGAAAAATGGAACTGATAAGGAATGTTTCGATTCATTTTTAGCACACAACTGGACTTCGTCAGTACGATGGCTGTAGTATCTATTGAAATTCAGAAAAAGAAATTTGAGGTTATGTCAATGAAGGGAGAGTAAATGAAGAGAAATATGAGAAAAAAGTTGTGTTAAAATAACTGGAAAGAATTTTATGCGAGTGAAAAATTTGTTCGCTTCTTATTTTATGCGCAGAATTTCGATGAGCACATCCGTCACCTGATTTTCAACACTATTGCACATAACAGAAGCACATATGAAAAAAAATGTTAGCACATAGTTTTTAAAACAGGAATAAATGTATCAATGGCTGTTTGAGAAGGGGGAGTCCCAATATGCTATGCCGAGGTGGTGCCCCAGCCACAAAGCGATACTTAACTAAAACCACCAGATGAAACTGGTCAAATGCTCCCGGACAGATGGCAGAACGGCAGGAGGGTTAAGGCATAAAACAATGG